TATCTATCTATCTATCTATCTACGATACCTATTCTATCTATCCATCCATCCATCTACCAGTTCTACGCTACTTATCTATCCATCCACTATCTACCTACCTACCACCCTTCTCCCATACATTTTAACCATTCACCAACTTCCACCCACCTGTCTCTTTACCCGTCTACCTCTTATCCATTTCTCTCGCCTCTCTCCCCTCCCCTTCCCCTCCCCCTTCTCTTCCCTCCTCTCTCCCTTCGCTTCCCCTCCCCTCCCCCTCTCCCCTCCCTCTCCCCCTTCCCCTCTCCCTCCCCTTCCCTCCTTCCCCCTCCCTCTAAACTTTAACCCCTAACCCCCCCTCCCTACCACCACTACCCAACCCGACCTAACCCAAACAGCCCGTTTTGGCACACCGAGAGTTGTTCTAATCTCTCGAAGCTGTTTGCACAAGCTCCTTTATGCGGTGATTTGCATTTTCATTCTCCCTCCTTGTGCCAGCCTCGGATATCCCCTCCCTTCCCCTCTCCCTCCCCCCCGTTTCCTACTTTCCTTCCTTCCCTCCTTCCGTGGTTCCCTCCGTCCCTCCTTCCTTCCCCCTTCCTTCCCTCCTCTTCCCTCCCTCCTCCTACCCCGCTCTCATTTCCCTCCACCCTCCCTCTCATTTCTCTCCCCGCTTCTTTTTTCCTCCTTTACCTCTCCCTCCTTCCATCCTCTCCTTTACCCTCCTCCATTTCCCCCTCCCCCTCCTTTTCTCCCTTCCCCCTCGCGTCTTTCTTTTCTCCCTTTTCCTCTCCCTCCCTCCCCTCTCTATTTCTCCACCTCTCCCTCTTTCTCCCCTCCCTCCTTCCCTCCCTCAATCATCGCGTGACTGAGATCTTACCACACAATCGGCTCTTACTCTCCCTCCTTGTCACTGGATCCAAGGATTAGGCTATATATATAGGTTGTGATAGATGGGGAGAGGAAAGGGAGAGGCGAGGAGGGGGGAGGACTGGGGGAGGAGAAATGGAAAAATGGAGTAGTAAGAAAATAGGAGAAATGAGAGTAGAGAGAAGAAAGAGAGAGGAAGGGGAGAGAGGACCAGAGAGAGGAAAGAGAGGGATAAGGAAGGAGGAGCGAAGAAGGAGAGAGAGGGAGATGGAAGAGAGATGAGGAGGGAAGGAGGAGAGGAGGATGGAGAGAGAGAGAAGAGAGAGGTAAGAGAGATGAAGAGAGAGGGAAAGAGAGGAAAGAGAGAGAAGAAGGAAGAGAGAGGAAAGAGAGAGGAAGAGAGAGGAAAGAGAGAGGAAGAGAGAGAAGAGAGAGAAAGAGGAGAGGAAAGAGAGAGGAGAGAGAGAAAGAGAGAGGAAAGAAGAGGAGGAAGGGAAGAGGGAAGGAGAAGAGGAGAAGAGAGAGGAAATTAGAAGAGAGAAGAGAGAGAGAGAGCCGAGAGACGGAGAGAAAGAGAGAGAGGAAGAGAGAGAGAAAGAGAGAAGAGAGAGAGAGAGAGAGAGAGAGAGAAGAGAGAGAGAGAGAAAGATGAAGAAAGAAAGATTGAAGAAAGATTATGAAAGTAAGAGAGAATGGATATTGATTGGGAAGAAAGAGGTGATAGAAGTATGAGAAGACAAGAACAAGCCTACTAATTACGGTACCACGAGTTAATATCTGACGAGAAAGACGCGAAGCTTTTCCATCATCTGCATCACGAAAAACGAAGAAAAAGAACTATACCAAGAATAAGAAGAGAAAGAACAAAGAGAGAGAAGAAAGAAACGAAAGAGAGGAGAGGAGAAAAAAAAAAAAAGAGAAATAGAGAGAGAAACAGAGAGAGAGTAAAGATCTCCGCCGTGGTCAAGTGTTACGACAAGAGGGCCAGGACGTTTTATTAGGGTCGTAGAGAAAAAAGAGGAAGAGCGAGTTAAAAAACGGCATCTGCAGACCCTGTCGCCAAGGATTTACATAAATATTCGGATTTGAATCAGTTCCTCCCCTATTCGCTCCCCCCCCCCTTCCTTCTATCCTCCTCCCATATCCCATCCACTCCATCCTACTTCCCCTTCCCTTCCGATTCCCTCATCCAAACTCCCCTCCATCCTCCCCCCTCCCCTCCTCCTCCCCTCCTCCCCCTCCCTCCTCCTCCTCCTCCTCCCCCTCCTCCTCCTCCCCTCTCCCTCCTCCCCTCCTCCTCCTCTTCCTCCCCCTCCCTCCTCACCACCACCACCCCTCCCCTCAATGACTCTCCCACAGCCTCTCCCTTTGAGTCAGCAACTAGGCCTACTTAAACAGGGCCGACTACCCATTCCACGACCTGCTGACCTGCTGATTCTAAGCTGACTGAACAGCTGGGAGAGATTATTCCTTTTGGGTCTTACTGGTGCAGAAGAGTTGAGAGAGAGGGAGGGGAGAGAGAGAGAGAGAGAGAGAGAGAGAGAGAGAGAGAAGAAGAGAGAGAGAGAGAGAGAGAAGAGAGAGAGAGAGAGAGGGGGGGAGAGAGGAAGAGGAGAGAGGAGAGAGATGAGAAGAGAGAGAAGAGAGAGAGAGAGAGAGAGGGGGGGGGGAGGGAGAGGAGGAAGAGAGAGGAGAGAGGAGAGGAGAGAGGGGAGAGAGAGAGAGATGGAGATGAGAGGGAGAGGAGAGAGGGAGAGAGATGGAGAGGGACGGGGGAGAGGGAGAGGAGAGGGAGGGAGAGGGAGAGGAGAGGGAGAGAGAGAGAGAAGAGAAGAGAGAGAGAGAGAGAGAGAGAGAGAGAGAGAGAGAGAGAGAGAGAGAGAGAGAGAGAGAGAGAGAGAGAGAGAATATAGAATAAGACGGAGAGACAGAAGCATCACACATACACCACAAACCACAAACACTGGTAGAAAATAAATTGAAAGACACACAGCAAAGACACACACACACACAACATAATAAATGCACGCGCACGCACACAAAAGGAATTTACTAAAGAAATACAGTTAGATAAGTTATTCCAACATTACAAAAGGTTAAAAAGGTTAGGATCTAGCTAACCAATTATACCATGCACTCATCTCCACGACACACACACACACACACACACACACACACACACACACACACCACACACACACAAACACACACACACAAACACACACACAAACACACACACGCACACGCACACACACGCACACGCACATACACACACACAAAAGATACATACTTGTACATCGTGTGGATATAGATGTACGCACATACACACAGGCGCTGGGCATTCTATGTACATTCATCTACCACACCGACAAGCAAAGACAAACAAATGTTTTTGCAATCTCGCAACGACGACAAGGACAAAGTACATAAACACGACACAAAAAAAAATCTGTCATTTCTCGTGTTGAAACCTTTTAAATAGTTTATAAAATCTGAACAATAGATTTAATGATTAAACACCGATCCTTACAACCGAATTCGAGAATATGCTTCTAAAAAATAGCACACAAAACAAAATGAATAAACAAAATAAATAAATATGAAAAATAAATCGCTATAAATCAACAACTACATGAATATGAAGTATATCTTTCTCTAAATACACAAAAGCAAGCCTTTACAATAGAAAAAAGCTCAGCTCGGATCTGGCAGAAGGACCGATGATACAAAAAAAAAAGTAATAAAAAATAAATAAAATAAAAAATAAAATATATATATATAAGTGAAGTTCGCGACAGTGGGCCCCGCGACATGTACTTACGGACGCTCCCGCCTTGGCCTTGGAGGCGGCCACGTAGGCAAGGTACTGGATCACTTTCTTGGTGTTCTCGGTCTTTCCGGCGCCAGATTCACCGGTGCACAAGATGCTCTGGTCCTCGCGGTCTGCAATGAGGGGGGAGGGGGGGGAGGGGTTAGAGAAAGTGCGACTCGTAACATAACATAAGAGATTGGGAGAGTGCGACTCGTAATGCAATATGGGTGTGATCGTCCGTTTATGAAGGAGATGAACATGTATAACCAAGAGATTGGGAGAGTGCAACACGTAACGTAAAATGGTTCACGTGAAATAATCAGCTTATTAAGATGAGCATGTACAACATAAAGAGATTGGGAGAGTGCAACACGTAACGTAAAATGGGTGAAACAATCAGCTTATTAAGGAGATGAACACGTATTACATAAAGAGATCGGAAGAGTGCAAAACATAATGTAAAATAGGTGTAGTAATCAGCTTAATAAGAAGACAACTCAGTATAATAGATATAAGAATCAGCATAAAATACACACAATACCTTGAAACGAGTGTAGCAATCAGCATGGAAGCTGACGCAACAGTCAACACAGGACCGGGTAGATACAACAATTATAAAAATCGGTACATCAGCAAGGAAGCTGCAAGTCAACATACAGACTGATGCAACAATCATAACGAGAGTCGGTGCAACAATCAAAACCAAAACGAATGAGGAGAAAAAAAAAGAACGAAAAGAAAAAGAAAAAGAAAAGAAAAAAAGTGGCAGAAACAACAAAAACGTAAAAATCAACGAAGATGTAATAAATAATAAACACTAAAGTAGGAACCCCCGGCAACATAAGAGACACTCCTTTAATAAGCTTTAAATTTCTCGCTTGGTGTAAATAACCGAACTAATTTACAGAAAAAGAAGGAAAGTACAACGCACACAAAACCGATAATAATTTTACTACAGCAATATTGGCCCATGGAGGAGTAGGAGAGGAGGAGGAGGAGGAGGAGGAGGAGAGGAGGAGGAGGAGGAGGGAAACAAAAGAAAAAAGAAAAAAAAGAAGAAGAGGTATGGGGAAGAAGAAAAAAAAAGAAAAAAGAAGCAAAAAAGAAAAAGAAGAAGAAGAATAAGAGGTATGGGGAAGTTACCAAGGCGCTGTCGTTAAATCTGGGAGAGGGGAGAGTGGAGGGAAAGGGGGGGGTGAGAAGGAGGAAAGGAAGGTGAGAGGAGTGGAGAGCAGAGGGAGAGAGAGATGGAGAGGAGAGGAGGAAGGAGAGGAGAGGAGAGGAGAGAGAGGAGAGAGAGAGGAGAGGAGAGGAGAGGAGAGGAGAGGAGAGGAGAGGAGAGAGAGAGAGTGTTAGGGGGCGTGGCTTCTCAAGAGTTGAACAGGCGACTTTCGCTCTTATTACTCACTCACTTCTTATATGACTATCTCAATCTCTCGAACGTCTGAGATGCTTCACACACTCTCTTCACTCTTCTCGATTTTCCTCCTTCATTTGCTTCTCTCTTCTCTCTCTCTCTCTCTCTCTCTCCCTCTCTCTCTCTCTCTCTCTCTCTCTCTCTCTCTCTCTCTCTCTGTGTGTCTGTGTGTGTGTGTTTGTGTGTGTGTGTGTGTGTGTGTGTGTGGTTTGTGTGTGCTGTTGTGTGCGTGTGCATGTATGTGTGCGGTGCCCGTGTATAGTGCTCACTGTGACTAGTCGTGCGCGGCGTGTGCAGGTTGTTATGTGCGTCGTGCGTGCGAGTGTGCCGTTGTAATGTGGGCGTAGTGCCGTGCGGCGACACTCATCGGAGGCGGTGCCGATCATGAGGAGAATGAGAAGCCTCGCCTTTCCTTGTTTAGATGGATCTGTATGTCTCTGGCGCTCCGCGAAACGTGCCCGCCCCGCTAGAAACTGGGGGGTTACTGCGCCCGCTTCAATTTTAAGGCGGTTCCTCCAGTTCACCTGATGGATCTGCTGCTGATGGGAGGAATGAGGAGGAGGAGACGGTGTGAAGGAGAGGAGGAAAAAGGAGGAAGAAAAAGAAACAAAAAAGGGAAGGTGCGTGTGCCAAACCAACCCGGGGAGATCGCAGCGGGGGCACTGGGGCGGGGCCCGCGGCATGGGCGGCCGCGCGGCGCGCGGCACGGCGCGACCCGATCACCGGAGCGCGTCCCGGGCCCGGCCGGCGGGACGGGCCGCGGCCCGGCGGCGCGGGTTTCCGGGGGAGGTATCGGCCGCGCAGTGAGAGCCCCTGAAGAGGTGGTGGGGGAGATGGGTCGGAGAGGAGATGGAGGGGGTTGGGGAGATGGGGAGAAGGGTGGGAGGGGTGGTTGGGGAGCAAATGGAGAAGGACGAAGACCAAAAAAGACAAGCAGGGAGAGTAGGAGTTAGAGGCACAAAGAGACCAAGAAACGGAGGGTAAGAGGAGAGAAAGGTGACAGGACGAGAAAGGGAAAAGAGAGCAGAGGAGGGGGGCAGACACGGCAGAAAGACCAAGTAAGTGAAAAGGGGAAGGGCACAGGGGGAGGTGAGGGAGAGGGGGGGAAGGAGTATGGAGAAGGGAAACAGTCCGGGCCGGAATTCAGGAAAGAAGAGACAGAGCGCAGAGTGTATATCAGATGCTGAGCAGTAAGGAAGATTTAAGGATGGAAAGCTTCCGCGAAAAGTAGGGGAACTAATTCTAATAATATATATTATATATATATATATAAATAGATAATATATATATATAAGATATATATGAGTATACTGATATATATAAAGAGAGAGAGAGCCGAGAACAAGAGGACGACAGATAGATAGGAGGCACCGGCGTAGACCACTCAGTCTGGCTTAGATCTAGAAGGATAGGGGAAGGGCCACCAAGGACAGGAACGAAGGAAGGGGAGGAGGGGAAGGGGAGTGAGGGGGAGGGCAAAGGGAAGGGAGCAGGAGCGAGGGCGGGGCGGGGCAAAGGGGGGAAGGGTGAAAGAGTATCTGTACTACGGGGAGAAGGTCGGAGGATGGGGAGGGCGTGGAAGAAGGGACAGGGGAGGAGGCTCGCGCGAAACGTAGAAAGAGGGGGACAAGGGGAGAGGGAAGAGGGGTAAGGGAAGAGGGGGGAAAAGGGGAGAAAGGGGAGGAGGGTGGTAATGGGGAGAGGGAGGAGGCGGGAAGAGGGGGCATCAAGAGGAGAGGGAGCAGGAGGGTGCCAATAGGAGTGGGAAGGGGGGGGGTTCTCCGCACCACAAAATCTAATCATGCCACCGTTTCCTTTTACATCAGGCCTTCTTGATCTTCCCTCGTGAACTATAAAAACCTGCGACACCACATTTCTTTTCCCCTCTCTCTCTCTCTCCTCTCTCTCTCTCTCGTCTCCTCTCTCTCCTCTCTCTCTCTCTCTCTCTCTCTCTCTCTCTCTCTCTCTCTCGCACCACTTTACACACACACACACACTTACACACACAACACACACTTACACACACAACCACATTACACACACACACACTTACACACACAACACACACTACACACACACACACACTTACACACTTACACACTTACTTACACATTTACTTACACACTTACACAACACACACACACTTCACACACACACACACACACACACACACACCACACAATCTTCGCTTATTTTCGTTTTTTTTTTTCTTGCATTCGTTCGTCTCGTTTTTGTTCTTGTCATATGACCTCCTCTCCAACCTTCCTTCCTCGTTAACTTTTTTTTTTTTCTTTTTTTCTTTACTTCGAGTTCGTTTCCCTCGCATTTCTTGATTTTCTTTTCCCCGTTTTTTATTGCTCGTCTTTTATTCCTTTCCGGTTTCCTCTCTTCCTCTTCCTCCTTCTCCTTCTTCTTCCCATTTCATCGCATTCTCCTCCCTCCTCTACATACCTCACTCCCAACACATATATGCATCAGAATCCGCGACCCTTACAGAGTGAGGGCCTCCTGATCCCATTGTGTGTGGTGTGTGGCTGTGTGTGTGTGGTGGTGTTTGTGGTGTGTGTGTGTGCCTGTGTGGTGTTGTGGGTGTGTGTTGTTGTTGTGTGTGCGTGCTGTGCCTTCCCCCTCATAACCTGCGTCGTCTCATGAACGCCTGCGCGTGGCGTCTCTGCGTGCCGTGCGTGCGTGCGCTGCGTGAACAACGCTCCGTGCGTGCGTGCGTGCTGATGTCGCGTACGCTGCGTGCGTTCGCTGTCATCATTTCGTTCTCTTCTCCCCTCTCATCCTTCTCTCTAGCCCCCTCTTCCAGCCTCCACCTCACCCCCCCCCTGGCCCTTTCCCATCCACCTCCACAGCGCGACCCGAAACAAGCCGTCACCGCCCCGCACATAATTTCCGGTGTTTGGGCGCGTCCCGGCGCATGGCCCACACGACGGGGGCCCTTCCGTACGGGAGAACCAAGAAAGAGAGGGATATGAAGCAAGGAAACAGAGAGATTAAAAAAGGAGAGAGACAATAAAAGAGAGAGAGAGAGAGACGTGGGGATCGAGAGAAGAGAAGTGGTGAGCGAGAGGCGCGGCC